AATTGTTTAATTTGAGTTGGTTTTTGAAATATCAAACCGAACCAAATGGATTAAATTAAAAAATCTATTAACTAAGAATACCCAAAATAAGGAGAACACTAGATAGATTCTTTTTTATGAAATGATGTTCAAATTACATGAGCTTTTGTTCGGTCGAAAAAAATTACCTTTTTGGAATTATATAGGTAGTCATTAATGTTGAATTTATTCGAAATTTTACCTGAATTTTGAAAAATATTTTTTAATTTTTGTCATGATTTCTTTCTTTGTTTCTTTTTTTTTTTAACAAAAATCACTAAGCATGGTATTTTTTTATATAGCTAATATACCAACTTTAAAAGTAAGCGGGATTGTTGGAGCTTGTGTTGTTATAATAATTGAATAGTTTGGTTTGTCCAAACTTTCAAAAAGTTTTAAAAAGTTTAAATTGAAATTAAAGAAAAAGGACATAGATGATGATGAATTACAACCTTATCAACTAGAAATGCTTAAAGACTTCTATTAGAAAACGTCATAGTTAATCAAAATAAATTAATATCAATAATTTTTTAAACTTAATAATACCTTTAGTGTTGCAATATATGTTACAACCGACGTAAAAATTTCAAGTAGTGGAAAGATAAATAAAATATTTAGGTATTTATAACTAATTAAATGATTTATTTATGTATTATTGGTCTATAAAAAATATTGAATCATATAAGAAATATATAGAGCATAAATGCACCCCTAACGATTTTACTTAGAAGGTTGTGAAGGGGATGTAGCTACTTGAAGACAATGATCATAAAGCTTTTGAGTCCGTCCAAAAACTTTGGCACACTCCATGTGAAACCCGGTGTAGTGGCAATGAACAAACCTAAGGCATGGTAGCAAAATTTTGAAAATTTTGTGACTTCGGGACAACAATTATCGGGAATAGGTTTGTCCCTAAATATTGTTGCCAAGGTTGCATTATTACAAGATGGAATTGAAGTTGGTAGAGGCTTTTGACATTGATCCAAAATCTTAAAATATCCTGGAGCTGGTTCGGGATAATATGACGGGTTAAAAAAAGCATTTGTGAGATGTGGAGAGTTTAACATCTGCTCCAACTGCAAAAAGTGCAGCAATCAAAGAGAAAAAACAATTTCTAAATTCCATGATAATGGATGCAAATATGGTTATATTTTTTAAAGATTTTTTTGAATGAAATGAAATGAGGGTTAATTAAGGTTAACTTATAGACATCGAGTGGGGGTTAGAATTTTTTAATGATTCATAACATTTTTTTAGTTTTACTTACCTTATCGGTTGTAATATTCAATTAATTTTCATTAGTTAAAGTCAATTGTTTTCAAGTGAGTTAGAAAATAAAAAACATAAATGTCATTAAGTAAGAAAGGACATTTGAAGTTTTTTTATTTAATTTTGAAAAGTTCGGGATTCTCAATGCTTGCCCTCTAAGATTATGTCCCTAGGTTATGAAATAAAATTAAAATTCAAGAAATAGTGTTCCCTTAGGAACATTGAGTACTCAAATATTTGTTTTGGTACTCGAGTGAATCTAGGGTAGACATAACGTAAGGAATGAGTTTTTGAAGTTTTTGTCAAATTTTTAGTTTCTTGAAAGTAATAGATTTTTGAAAGAAAGTAAAACTTACCGTAATTTTTTTTTTATCTTAGCAATCAAGACATATATCCTAGGTCTAGCATACACTAATGAAGACTAGAAACCTACCTCATTGGTCGGATCTTCTCATTTCGATCTAGCTTGTATATATAAACTCTCTTTATATTAAAATGAAGAACATATTGATGACCCTTTAAGGTCATATTTTAGCTCGGTTTATCGCACTTCGGCCCTTATGTTATGCCATCTTAAAAAAAAATTATGCTCTATTATAGTTATGCTAGAAGAAAAAATGGGTCCATCGAGCTTTTATTTTTCAACATGATGATAGGATTATTAGGCAATTATTGCCCGGTGTAGATAGGGTCAAATTAAAAGGGTTATGAAAACACTTAGGCTTTTATTGGATGATGGATGGACCGATAGGAGATAATTTTTGGGCGTACATCTTGTTAAATTTATGAGGGTTATTAAAATACATAGGCCTCTTCCCTTGTCTTTTAGATGAGTGAGGTTGTTTAGAAGGAGCTTTTCGATTTACAAACCTTGAAAGAAAAGAGTTGAAAAGCTAGTTTGGCCCTCCTAACTTCCAATTATATTTTGATTGATAGTATATTAATTGGTCAAACCATTTAATTACTCTTAATTTTGTTTTTTTTTCTTTTTTAAGATGAATAATCAAGTAAGAATACGAGATAGAATAAAGATTAATTTTTATGAAATTATGGAATACATTAAGCAAAAGAATCTAACAATAAACAATATCATGGTTAAGTCATCAATAGTTAAGTTCTTAAATATCCGATATGTTAGATAAGTCGTTTGTATTTATTTTTTGACGAAAAATTACACGCTAGAAAAACAAAATTGTCTTGAACTTCATATTAAACCTTTTGTTGCCTTTAGAGGCTTAGTCTAAAGGGTAAGTGGGCTTATCCTCTCCAAAATATCATTTACGATCGAATTTTATAGAAGGACATGAGAAAAATTTTTACTCATGCATGTACCGATCCAATTGTTGATAGCCTATATAATTTCTCAAATGTGAAGGATATCTAAAATATGAAGGATATAATATCGGTGTCCAAAAAATGGGCTTAAGATACCTAGAAAAGTATGACACAAAGATTGTTTTGTCTTAAATTAAAATAATTAATAATTATTTTTTGTACATCAAGTTTCGAAACAAGGTCAAAACTTTATTCCGCAAAAATCACAATATGCTTAAATTTAAGAAAAACTCACCGAAAGAAAATTTAATAATTAGTAATCTTAATTTCATATACATTAAATAATATGTATGAAAGTTATATTGCATCCAATACACATATGAAGCGTAACTTGATAGCACCATCTACAATTATTGAATTACATGACGAAATTCTTCCAGTGGTCTTAGTATTGATGATAAAATACAATAAAATCTAAATTCAAAAAAATAAGATAAAGTTTTTCTTACATCAATTGCTAGTGGTCCACACATATAAAAAAAAACATTTTTAAAATGTTGCATTATGCCAATTAGAGGGGAGAATTGTTTAATTTGAGTTGGTTTTTGAAATTTCAAACCGAACCAAATGCATTAAATTAAAAAATCTATTAACTAAGAATACCCAAAATAAGGGGAACACTAGATAGATTCTTTTTTATGAAATGATGTTCAAATTACATGAGCTTTTGTTCGGTCAAAAAAAATTACCTTTTTGGAATTATATAGGTAGTCATTAATGTTGAATTTATTCGAAATTTTACCCGAATTTTGAAAAATATTTTTTAATTTTTGTCATGATTTCTTTCTTTGTTTCTTTTTCTTTTTTTTTTTTTAACAAAAATCACTAAGCATGGTATTTTTTTATATAGCTAATATACCAACTTTAAAAGTAAGCGGGATTGTTGGAGCTTGTGTTGTTATAATAATTGAATAGTTTGGTTTGTCCAAACTTTCAAAAAGTTTTAAAAAGTTTAAATTGAAATTAAAGAAAAAGGACATAGATGATGATGAATTACAACCTTATCAACTAGAAATGCTTAAAGACTTCTATTAGAAAACGTCATAGTTAATCAAAATAAATTAATATCAATAATTTTTTAAACTTAATAATACCTTTAGTGTTGCAATATATGTTACAACCGACGTAAAAATTTCAAGTAGTGGAAAGATAAATAAAATATTTAGGTATTTATAACTAATTAAATGATTTATTTATGTATTGTTGGTCTATAAAAAATACCAAATTATATAAGAAACATATAGAGCAGAAATGCACCACTAACGATTTTACTTAGCGAGGTTGTGAAGGGGATACGACTACTTGAAGACAATGATCATAAAGCTTTTGAGTCTGTTCAAAAAACTTTGGCACACTCCATGTGAAACCCGGTGTAAATGTAAATGTCCACAAAAATCATTTTACATCATAGCTAGCAATATAGAACATAATTAAAAAATGTAAATGTCCACAAAAATCAATTTACATCACAGCTAGCAAGATAGAACATCCAAAAGAAAAAAGAAGTCAATGCATACTAAAAAAATTTAGTTTACCTTAAAATGTTTAATGTAATAATTTATTTGAAATAAAAAAATTAAGATTACGCACTTACAATTTGCACTATTTTATAAAATTTACGAAACGTTTTATTTATTTTTTATTTTTTTACGATAAAAATATAATTTCGGCTATCACTATTGTTTAAAAACAAAAACTATACAGCACTCGCCTACATCAACGAACGGGTCTCAAGCTACCTAAGGACTAGATTACTAGGCGGTTGGCAGCTAGTTTCTACTTGCTAGCTAGCTAGCTAGTCATTAATCAAATAAAATTATAGATAATAAATAAAAACAGAAAAGGGACGGTAAATTTTGGGTGAAGACCAAAAAGCTCCTAGGTTTGACCGAACGGTCCACACCGTTTTGTCAAGCCCTTTTATATTTCGGGGTGGGACCCAATAAAAAGAAAACAGGTTCAGTTTCATTTTCTGCAACCCAACAGAACAATACCATCACCATGTCTCAGCTCTTTCTCACTGCTCAGAAATCAGAATTCGTCTTACTCTCAAGTACTTCTCGAATCCCTCTTTTCCCTTTCCATTCTTTCGTTTATTCATTTCTTCCTTCATCGCGATTGAATCTTCAATTTCTTTCTCTCTCTCTCTTTTTTTTTTTCCAATTCGAAAATCTAACCGTTTTGTCGAATTTTAAATTTTTGTTTTTTTTTTTTGGCCCTGTCAGTTAGGGTTTCTTTTGTCTGTAATTAAATGCGATTCTCTCATCATCTCAAGTTCTTATCTCTCTCTCTCTTTGCAGTGGAATCAAAGAAGCGATTGTTTTTAATTACTTATTTTTAATTATACTTTATTGTAAATAAATAAATAAAAGAAGAGAATGTTTGAAGGACTTGTTCATCGCGTTCTGGTCGGTTATCTCGGCCGTTACTTCAAAAATATCCAAAAAGAACAGCTTAAGCTCAGTCTCTGGAACGGTAAGTTTTTTTTATTTTTTTTATTTCTGTATATTTATATTTGTGTGTGATTTGCTTTGTACTTTTAACTTTTTTATTATCATTATTGAAGAATTATAGCTAATGGTAGTATTGCAATAAAGACTTTATTTAGGGTTTAGGGTTTAGGTACAGTCTCTGATGCTTTTTTTTAATTATTAATTAATTATTCCAGAGGAAGTATTATTGGAGAATGTGGATTTGATTCCAGAAGCTTTCGATTATCTCCGGTTGCCCTTTTCTATAAAGCAGGGTATGATGAATTTATTATTTGATCTTTTTTTTCGATTTTGTCTAAACCTGTTTTTTCGCTTGTAATTTAAGCATCTCTCGTTTTGTTTTGTTTAGGTCGGGTTGGGAGGTTAAGCATTAAGCTTTCGTGGAAAAAAATTGGGTGGGATCACCCCATTATTATAGCTGTTGAAGATGTATTCATTTGCTTGTCCCAACGGGATGATCAAGAGGTAGTTATGAATCTTGGACCTTTTTTTGCATGTCGAATGGTGTCAGAGTTTGTGTTTTTATGAATTAGAAGTTTGATTGGATAAGAAAAAGTAGAATGAAAGAAATTAATTTTTTTCTGCCTGCCTGTTGTAGTGGAATTTGGATGCAGTTGAAAGACGAGAATTTGCTGCTAAAAAAGCTCAACTTGCTGCTGCAGAGCTTTCAAAATTGTCAAAACGCATATGTGGTGAGCTGTTTGTGCTCCACTTTCAAGCACTGGTAGTTTATTTGGTTTCAGCTAGTGTATGCCTTTTCTTTTAATAACTCATGAAGTTGTATCACTGCAAAATTTAAGCGATGTAAAAGTTTTGCTGAGACAACTTAAGGATTGCTAAACTTTATGGTTATGAGAGAAGGGCATGGTGTAGTGATTCATAGCCTCTACAGTGACTTCCCATGATTCACAATGCTCATATCTACTAATTCATTTACTTGGCTATAGCATTTAGTTCCATTCTTTGTTCAAGAACCCCAAACAATACAATCATAGTCTACGAGACGTATAGTTGTCGGTTGATCATAAATTATACTGCAATCTGATTCGGTGGTTTTTTGACTCGTGATATATTGTCTATCTGTGAGATTGCATTTTATGCTTAATTCAGGAGATTCTTATTCATGTCTGGCATTTTTTTTTTCATGTAGATAATCAGGCGGGGAAATCATTTGTGTCATATATCACTGCAAAGGTAACATTACCTTTTTGTTATCCATTACGGTTTTTACTCAATTATTAACCTTTTTCTTTTGGGTTCTATGTAAACATACGTTATTGTATTTGTGGAAATAATAATAAATATCTATTGTACTGCTATTTATGGGTTTATACTGCATTCATGGTTACACTCATATTGCTGTATTACGGTCTGTTGTGGGTGTTATATAATGTATTCATTGTGCTCACAAATCTTTTAGTTACCATGCTCATTGTAGCCCATCAGATTTGAGGCTGTAATGTATCAGTCATCTAAAAACATTTTTTATGTAATGGAACAGTTAATATAGAAAACTTTGTTCCACTTATATATGTCCTCTTTGAAGATGTAATTGCAATATGTTGCTACTCTCTGAGTTCCTTGTTTTGCTTCCAGGTTCTTGATAGCATCCAACTTTCAATTAGAAATTTTCATGTCCAATACAGTGAAAGGCAGTTTGACTCGGTGAGCTTATCCCCCAGTCTACCTGTACTTTTCCTTGTTTCTCTTCACCTTTTGTCGTACTATGTTGTATTACAAATTCATTTTAGATACATTTGTTGCTTTCTGGAATTGCTTCCACTTATGATGCAAATGAATAGATATCTTTATTTTTGTTTCATGCATATGCTATTTTTGTCAATGTGCGAAGGGCTGACTATTCCTTTTCTTTTTCCTCTTTATTATTATTATTTTGGAGCAAAAACAACGAAACAAAGACAGTGCTGAGAGTTTTTTTTTTCAATGTAAGGTTCTACTTGAGCACGGGTTGTAACTCTTCATATTTCCAACATGTTTTCCAGGCACAGGTTTTGTTCGGGTTGCAGTTTTCCAACTTGACGGTAAAGCAAAATCTGGTTGGGTAATTTTTTAGGTTAACTCCGAATGTTTTCATAGTTCATGATAGTTCTCATAATTTTTTCTTTTATGTGAATCTATGAATAGCAACAAGTTGAGAAATGAGGCTTTATTCTACATGCTTGAAAACTAAGTTACACAAAATATCTTCAATTAAATGCGAATGCGAGGTATTTACAAGAAATGCTATGTGCTGCTCACGTCTCATGAATTTCACTAGTGAATGTCACAAATGCAAATAGTAATAGCTTTTGTTTGCATTTGCAATCTGGTCATGATGCTACTTGAAACCATGATCTACAGGAGTAATAGTAATGACTTATTTCAGGTTAGGAGGCCTCGTAAGGCCCTTTCCATTTGATATGTGTTAAGTGTTGAATAGAGGTGAGACTCAGAGCAATCTCTTTTGACATTTCTTTGTTGCTTGAGGTGATGCAGCAGAGTCCATTTCTTATATAGAGACTTGGCAGTAATGGGTAGAGTGGTGCCTTGCTTTTTCTATTATCTTATGTCGTTGGACTCAGTGATAGTATGGAACCGTAAAGGATTGCTTGACCTCAAAAAAACTATTGTGTTATGGGAGTTTATTTATGACATCTTTATGGTGTTTTATAATGATTCCTTAGCTAATGTTTAGCATTACTGGAAGTCTTTAACTTTTCTTCAGCATTGATTTTATAGAATTTTCGGTTTGCCAACTTGATTTTTGACCATTTTTCTTAAATTTTTAATTTTACTGTCTCTCTCTCTCTCTCTCTCTCAGCTATTACCCCTTACATTTTTTCATTGGGTCAACCAAATTGAGTGTTACATTGGATGGGGAAAAGTTTTGTTACTAGTTGAGGTTCATTTCTAGCTTATATTATCATGTTCCAACCTAATTGTCAGTTTTATGATGTATTGAATGAAGTATTCATAGTTGAATGGTGCTGAATAAGCTAGGTACTAATGATCTGTTGCAGATTAAGGTGTCACATGGCCTAATTTTCTATTATTTTGTCATGTGACCATCAAAATGCGGAGACTTAGAGCCATCTCTCTATCGTCCTCCATTTATATAGGATATTTTCAATTCATTCATTTATGAAATTTGTCTTTTATATTAGAAAAGTGTTGAATAGTGATAATGTTGTGTTTGCTATGGAATGGAAAAAACAGGTTGAAGTGTTACGGTAGTGAATTTTTATGAGTGGATATTTTGTCCTGCATGATTTTATAATGCCTTTTGTGAAATTTCACAATGTCATTATCTTTTAAAATTTTTATGAACGCAGCTTCTCAAATTTTGTGTATTTTGCTTGATTTTCTTGTTCGTCACCTTTCTTTGTTTCTCTGTGAAAAGCATGTTTTTGAAATGCTCCTCTTATGTACTGGGCTTTTTTATAAAAATAATATTTTTAGAAATAGGTTTTTCTTTCGTCTAAAATAAGATTTTCATTCTTTTCGTTTATGCTATTTTCTATTTCATTTATTCTTCTTTTATTCTCTTTTGATGTTTATCGTGTTTATTACATCAGATCATTTGGTGGGAAGGTGGTAGGCGGCCAAGTAAACAAAACTGTGAATATTGAAGGTTTGGAAATTTATTGTAGCACATCAAAAGGAGATATTGATTCAATGAGTTTGGATGATGTTTTGGACTCTAAATTCCGACTTAATGCAAGACATGGAGGTTATCAGTTTGACTACTTATTACAGCCACTCAATGTATCAGTGTCCCTTGGGGTATGAAGGCATGATTAGAAGTGATTTTCTTGCTTTATGCATCGTGCGTTTCATTAATTAATGGTCTTTTCTAAAATGCACTTTTTAGACTAGAATGTTAAAAAATTAGAAAAATTGAAGAATTTTATTTTACCTATTCTCTCAAAAATCTTTTAGGAAAATTAGGATCCATGCATTCATATCTTTTCTCTTAAAACACAAATGAAAATCATTTATGCCGAAGAAGTGGATATCATTTTCCACCAGAATAATTAGTTCTTTTATCATATATGTTGCAAATGTAACTGTACATTGAAATCAATTTTTCCCTTGAATGAAAACAATAAGAGTGGACTAAGTTTGTAGAATTATTAGCTATAAAAACTACATGTTACTGAAGTTTGTTTTTGAACTGCAGGTTAACAGAGCAGGAAAGCTTGACAGTGATTTGCCCCAGTATTCAATCCGGGCCGACCTAAATTACTTGGTTGGCTTAGTATTTTGAGGCGTATATCATTGATATAAAATCTTCATTTTCTGCATGCCCTTATGTACTGTTTGCATATTGTGTTGAGTATGTTTGTATTTACGTATTGATTCTCTTATTTTCATCTTATTTTAGGCTATGTCTTTAAATGAGATTCAGTTGCAGCAAATATTGATTTTATCAGACTACTTAAGCACAAGCAGTTTGCGGGAGAAGTAAGTTCAGTATATTTCTTGTTATTTTTCCTCTAGTGTTAATTAATCTAATAAATTTTTTACATATTTATCTAGTCCCTTTTATTGTAGTGATATGAGATAGAATTAAAGCACATTTATTTATGGCAACATTTGTGAGTTTTTTAACTCACATGCAACTCAATTGGAAAATTTAAACAAAAGGGAAAACAGGGCCCTCTGGGGTTGGAGTTGAGGAGTTTGGTTGAGGCTTTATAGAGGCTTTTTTGGACAACTATGATTTCTCTTGTAAATATATTCTTAGACTTAGCCCCTCAACTTATTAGCTTTCCTTTGGTCTTGGTCAATGATGCATGTGAAGCACATTTATTTGGACCGTAATTCTTTTGTAAAATTAATACTAGCTACTTGTTAAAGGTTAGGAGATGTCCCAAGGTCTTAACTTTACAGTTTATGATATGAATCATATCTTTTTGTTAATTAATGTAAGTTTTGTCAATGCCTGCTGAAAAATAGGGTGGATATCACCAATTTCTCTATTAGCTGATTAGATTTCCCAGTCAATTACAGTTATGTTGTAACCATTTTAAGAGGGAAGTGTGTTTACAATGACATAAATTGAAGTTTAGTCTTGCATCTATTAATTTACTTTTTTATCTTCTGCCCTGTCAATATATCTGTAGAGATAGATGGCCATCCATTTTAGTTTTTGATCAAGATGTTTTTAAGAAATGGTATTGATACTATTCAGTTTTGTTCTTCTAAAGGCTGTTTTTTTTAATGAAAGATTGGGACACAACTTTCATGCACTTGTAACGCCAAAAACTGAAAGTGGTTGTAAATTTGATATATTTGTTGAACGATGTAGGTATGGACGTTACCGTCCCTGGGGTTGTCCTCTATCAAGAAAACAGGATGGATGGCAAAGATTATGGTGGCACTATGCTCAAGAATCCATTCTGGCGGATGTTCGATTGAAGTTGAAGAAAACTTCATGGAGATATTTAGGACAGAGACTGTAAGTTCATTTTCCATTGAGATTTAACCTGTTACATAATGGCAGATGTCAAGCATGCATGAGGATGGGACTATATATACCCCTCTGATTTCATTTTCCTGTTGTCTATATTTGTTGTTGAGGCGATATAATGCTCCAATCTCTCTCTCTCTCTCTCTCACTTTTTTCGTTTTTTCTTTTTCCTTGTGTGTGCGTGTGTGCACGCGTGCTCATGGATGGAATGGAACTTAAGAATCTTCGGAATCACTCTCTTTTCAGACAAACTGTTGTGGAGTAGATTACTTTTCTTGGCTTTCTTATAATGTACCATTTCGACGGATTTTCTGTCTATTTTTGTCAGGAATTCAAAGGAATTGGAGCTCTTTTGTTCTGAGCTCCTTGGTTCAATCTTCCTGGGTGTAATTAAGTTCCATGTCAATCTATTCTCTGCTGTATAATTCCTTAACTTCATTTCTCCTAAAAATCATATAATCTATGGCTAATGGTGAAATAGCAGATCCCACATTTCTTTCTGAATGATTCCGTTGTTGAGCAATCTATCTCGCCGTGCCATCCTTCCTCAGCACATAGCAAATCCCATGTATGTGCATAATGGCAGAGGACCAGAACAATTTGTGGCTAATTTTGTAAACTGCTTTGGTTATTTCTCTGTTTTTCTGCTTTCATCTACTGAATGAATTGAAGTTTATAAATGTGCGTATGCCTTTATGCTCATGTAACTTTGTTTCTAAATGTTACCTTATCTAAAATATTTTGGCAAGTACTTACATTTTGGTTCAAGTAACTTCTGTAAAATTTATTTCTTAAGATTTTCTTTTTAAGAATATTTTTTCTCTAACTTGATTTCTTATTTCAGGAATTTTCGCCGAAAGTATATTAATTTATATCAGACTAAACTAGAGTTTCTCCATCAAGAACAGGTGATTTCTCTCGTTCCTTTATCATGAACACAAAGAATTCTTGTTTCTTAATGTTCAATGTTTTCTCAAATACGGTTTAACACGTGCCACTATTTGTTGCTGCACCTTTACCTCCTCTATGACAATGCCAAGATTCCAACATTTGCTAAAAAATGGGCTTTAAATGAAAATTATGCTTGCTTGAATTGCCTATTTTGGTTCTTCTAGTAATCTTTATTGATGCGATATCAACAAATCAATAAAAGGGAGAGTTTGAAGGTTTGGAAATGATAGGAACTTGGTGCATTTTCAAGGCACAGGTTACACGATAGTAGCTTTGTTCTCTAGACATTACAATTTAGTTCAATGAGTGAATAGATTGGAAAGTTCTGTGTGAATTATGAGAACAGAAATAGATATAGTTGATGCTTAAAAATGCTAGCTAAGATGCATAGTTATCTTAAAATTGGGGAAGGCCAAGTAAAGTTCCAGTAATCATCTTTGTTTGATCTCCCATCGCTTTGTTTTTTCATAGCGGCTAAAGTTTGATTTGCACTCCATAAACTCTTCACTTCATTTTAGATTTAAATCCTATTAGCCTTAGCCAATTTTCTGTCCATGCGAATTACAGTCTGTTGGTACATAATGTGGGCATGATTTGTTGAAATAACTGGGGTATACTCTGAAGAAATCCCTTTTAGCTTTGATTTGATTTGATTTATACCCTTTGTTTTCCAAATTTTGATACACATCCTCTAAACACCTCACAAAAATGCTTCTTTTCATTCGACTAAAATCAGGTATCACTACTGGAAGCATTTAAATGAAATTATTCAAAATGCATGATATATAAATCAAATCCCTCAAAAAACAAGGATGCATGTGAAATCAAGCTGAAGTCATTTTTTTTTTTGATTTATCCTGATAAACATAATTTGCTCTTCTTATCGTGTTGTTTATGAGGTTTGACTTCTTATGAACTGAGGATAGGGTTGGTTGCTTTCTAACTCTTATCGCTTTGTTTATGTTTCAACTTGTGATTCAGGCAATTGATGAATATATTATTCGGGAGTTGGAGCAAATGGAGAAAGAATCTGATATAGATGATATCCTAAGTTATAGGTCGGTGGCTGAACGTAAGCTTCAGGTATTTGTTTTCTTAACTTATGGAAATTGATATGCATAGTATTATCAATTAATTAATTTGGTTTGGTTTCCATGCTTAAGCAATTGTTCACGTGAGATTTGGTTTGTGTTTGCATGCGAGATTTAGTATGTGTTTGGTAATGTGGTGCAGGTGCTTAAAGTGCTTGGGGACTGAAAAACCATCAAATTTGATGCCTTTTTAAGTGCTTTTTGATTTTTTCCACACCAGTATGTCAAAACCATCCAAAAGCACCTAAGAAAGCATCAAATTGATGGCATTTCAAGCCAAACTCACTTTTAAAAGTGCGTTCAAACGCATTACCAAACATAGCCTTAGCTTTATCTTAAAGTAGTAGATAATAGGTACATTTACAATCTATACTTTATTAAAACCCTTCGTCCCATAATATTTGGTATAAGTGATAAAATTTTAGTTCATTTATTATGATAGAAAAAGTAATACCTTATGTTTTGTTAGAGATTTTTTAATTCCTCCAAATTGGTCGTGAACTTTTATACTTCAAATTTTTTAAAAATGAATTAATCTTTTTTTGATTTGCATACCATAAATATTATGGGGCGGTGGCAGTATAATTTTTACTTTTTAAAATGCTCTATAAAGCAGCATTCTTTATTTACAATGGTGTTCTTTTTCTCATCAAAGGAAAGAGAGCTCTCTATGAGCAACATTTTAATGAGTTAGTTGATGTTTTATTTATTTGGTCACAGGAAGTTTTGTCAAACTCTTTATCTTCAAATATGGAAGTTAATGGTACCCATAGTTTCATTGAGAAGTCACAAAATGATGAACGCTCATCAAGCAGGTCCCGTGGATGGTTGAATTGGATCTCCCGAGGCATGCTTGGTGCTGGTGGAACAGATGATTCAATTCAGTTCTCTGGTGTGGTTTCTGATGAAGTTGTAAAGGTAAGCGTGGCAAGTTGTTGATGGTTCAAATCGAGCAAAAAAGTAAAACGAAATTTGGATCTAGATCTTAATTTATCTAATTACTTTCTGTTTTCAGGATATCTATGAAGCTACAGAGTTCCAGCCATCTTTTTTATCTGGTGGGGATGTTGATGCAAATTATAAGATGTTTACATGTGCAATGAAGTTCAGTGTAGGTCGCATTACTGCAACACTGCAGAGCAAGTATGGTTTCTTTTATATCTCTCTAGATTAAAACTAGTCACTCATGTTATTTAAAAATTTGTAATTGTACATTTGTAGCCCTCTTTAGAATCTTTCCAAATGTTGCATACATGCAGACAGATTCTGAAAGGAGATACCTCCATTGTGGTATTTTTTAGCGGTTTATATCCCTGTAGCATCATATTTTTGGGTTGCTTGTCTGGATTCTGAGCTGGACCATTATTACCTGCATATTGTTACTTATTGCCAGAGGATGCCATGTGTTGTCAAATTCTATAATATTACTGATGTTTGCTAGTTTATGATCAATGGTTTTTGACTGAATAGTATCTTCTTTGTCATATCAATGCTTTTCATTTGTTTTTATTGTGATCCATTGACAATCAATCACAGTAGTTGTGCTTTTTTAATTTTATTTATTTATTTTTTTTTACAGGAGGTCTTCTGAAAATATTGCTGACCTGATTTTTAATGAGTTTGTCATTGAATGCAAGCTTTGTGAAGAGTTGGCAACGATTATTTGCCACTTTAGGTCAGGAGAGATGTTCGATCTGTGTAACAAGAAAGTCATTCTACAGATAGGAAGGGTTTGTATTCTTATATCCCGGCTATACATGTCTCAAGCTATGTGTATTTTGAAAATATTTTTTTCTTTCTGTTTCTATGAGGTTCTCTTTCCTTTGTTTATCAACCATCTTTTTTACATATAAATTGTCATTGTAAGTGGTCGTTTTGCGAGAGAACATATCAGGTCTCTGTCTCAGCTCTAGTGCTGCATCATTGATGATCTTGTGGATCGCTTGTAACTCAGTTTCAAATGAAGTACTATTGTTTGTCCCTTGAGGATACCATAATTTCCAGACTTGGTAAGCAGTGTGTTTCCCCAACTTTTGGAAACTTGGATGCTTAGTATGGGTTAATGGTAGTGCACTTGGTGGAAGAGCAAGTTTAGCTGCAAAATGGTGGAAGGATATGTGGAAACAATAACAGGAGTGCAAAGATGCTTTCGTAAAAACTGTTTACTTAGGTTTCCAAGTTCATTTCTGTACTAGACACTTCAAGCTTGTGCTCATAATGCTTCCCTTTGGATTGCTAGTTCTGTACCTAGGTTTCATCATACAAAAGGAGGGAGATATTGATGAGGAAATCAAAGCATGATTAGCATGCTATGGGATATCAAAGCCCCTAATAAGCTGGTTTAAGTATTAAGTTGGATATCCTCGTTGGTTGTTAGTGTTAGTGCTGGGCAAATTAAGAGCAGCACAACAATGGAGTGTGGATAGGATGGTGTTGTTGAAATGGATGTGGAAACATATAAAGGGCCAAATAAAAAATGGTTACATCTGTTTCAAGGTGGATGTGACTCCATTGAGGATAAGAGAAGGTAGTCTATGATGGCTTGGCTAGTAGGCTTGTAGATGGACTCATGCAGGACAGTAATTGGTTTGCAATTGCTGGACCAAAAAAGAGGAAGAGTAAACTGGCTATATTTTAGGATGAAGTATAGTGAGTGATTTAGATTGACAACTGTGGAAAGTTCAGTAAGCAAAAGAAATTGAGGAAAAGCATCCAATTTAGTTGGCCACGACTGATTTAGAGCTGGGCCATAGTTGAACTGAATTAAGAATGATATGTTTCTATCAATCTCAGGCAAGAAACTTCCACTCAAGGTGCATCATCCATAAGCACGCTGGTTATGTTCTTGTCATTTAAAGTTGAAGCATTTCAACACTCTCATGGGCCTATGTGATATGGTCCATATACTGGAGTTTTCTAGGTCATATCTTTTATTTTGGAAAGAGTCCACAGTAAAGAATCGCATGATGAAACTGTCATAAAATATTCATTGATCCTGATTATGCTTTGCCTCTCTATTTATCTTAATGAGCAAAATTTGTCTTGTTCATGATCTTGAGTAACCAAGCATCAAAATTTGTGTTATGTTTTGTAACTTTTCACAGTCTCGACTTAAAATCCATCTTTTAAACACTGTTATTGGATTTTTTTTTGTGCAATACTATTTGAATCTGGTTCATCGGTCTACTTCCCATAAACTCACATGTTTGGTTAGCCATTTGTATTCAAAGTCTTCAATATCAGAAGTGTGGTTATTTAGACAATAGAGATTGCCACTGGACTTGGATGTGATGGAATTTTGCTTTCTAGCTGCTAGAAGTGGTTCAAGATTCTTGAGGTTGACCCTTTGGAATGTGCTTCTAACGTGCAAAAATCAGTTTGTTATTAAACTTTCAAGGAGTTCTTTTATGGATTTGCTTGGGCAGTGAGCTCCTTATGAAAAGTACTAGTGCATGAGTAGGACTGTTATTCTATTTCTAAAATTAGCAGTAGCTTTAACTCTTCAACTGTCTTTTATGTGTCATCTATAAGGTAAGATATCCTGATTTGTTTGAGTTTGATCAGTTCTTGAGTTGGATGATGAACAAAATTTTATGAAATCATCTTATCATTGTTTTTGCAAAACATGAAAAGGACACTACATCAATACTTAACCTAACCTGGATTCTTTTTCAGTCCCTTATGGAGGAAAATGTTCAGGAAGATGAACTTCCTTCATGCAGACTTCAAGTGGACCTGTCACCAAAGCGGGATGTTGAATTGTCAATAAAGGTATCACTCTATTCCTGGCGCTTTGTGCTTTTCAATATCCTTTTTATGGTTTCTGAATCATGTCATGAACATGCAGGTTATAGTTCAACCACTGGAAGTTACTTGTGATGTAGAGTTTTTTCTAAGTCTCAGCGAACTCTTTACTGTCCTAAAATCCTTTGAATTTCAGCTGGAAAGGGTAAGTTGTTACTGTTGGTCAATTGTTCTTTGGATTTGGTCCTGCGCCCGCATGTTGGCTCTTGTGCTTGCTTTAAGTGAATGATTCTGTCACAGCTATTGTATGCTCTTCTGGGGTGCTGTTTTTATTTTTTATTTTTATTTTTTGTTGGATCTTCTGGTTTTAATGTTCTTTGACTTTAGTGGGATCAACATGTGCAGCTGGGTTTTGCATTTATAATAAATGTGTATCTGCTAGCCATTTTTGGTTGCTTCTTTTCTTGCATTAATTAATTTATTATTTGTTTTAGTCTCTTGATTCTTCTGAAAGTGTTGTATCATTTAATAGTATTGTTGAGTTGAGGCACTTAATTATGCATTTCAGAGGCTTTTAACAGTTTGACAGTCTGAGGGACTATTGCTGTAGCATTCAAGGTTAAACCTGCCTCTTAGAGAATTACCATAATATGAGGTTCTCTTCTCCTTTTGTGATGTAAAGCTTTTTTAGGAAGATCAAGAACTTATTATTGAATTCAAATATAATTAAGAGATGCGTTATTTGTGAATACACTTGTTTAGCTATTGGAAAGTTCTCGATTTTTTTCTTCAATTGGTGTGTTAGACAGTCTTACATCATTGGGGGATTTTGTAGACTTAGATAATTTTTTTGTATGTAGCTAAGAAAGTATCGATGGAGTTTTTATGTTTTGTTTCCACTTTTTTGTAAATGGGTTACACTGAAACTGCTTTGGTGCCTTTATTAATTAATATCTTTGGTTCCTTTAAACATTTGATATGGCATACCCGAGCGAATTGTTTATTGTCAATATTGATCCTATTGCAGGTTCTGTTGTCACTAAATGGGATTGAAGATGTCAGGACTCGCCTATTGTCAAAAGTGGAGTAAGTTCCTTTTCCACTTCTGGACTTGGTTGCGGATAATATTTGCTTCCTTGAATTATTTTATATGTTTAAGCTCTCTAGTAGTTTTCAGACTTCTATTATTGCTTATTAGCAGTTGCACTAGCTTCATTAGGAGTACTTTTGATTTTGTATTTTGTTGGTTTTCCTGTTTAAAATTCCTATTCCTAATTGTTTAGGATTTTAGACTTTGGTGCCTATATAAAGAACCACCCGAGGTAGTGGAAGACAGGATATTGTTGATTGATCAAACAGATTGAATTTTAGAATATTGGTTCTTGCTTGTGATTAGTAAGAACTTTGACATCTATGGCACTGTTATGTAATTTGCTCCTGTCCCATTTGTATTATTTTTTTGTACAAGCTCGTAATGTATGTCTTTCATGTGCAGATACATCTTATCAAGTCATAAAAGGCTAAGTTGGGATGTTAGTGTCATCAATATTGTAATTAATGTTCCATGGAGAAAAGCAATGCCACAAGAATACAACTTGGTAACACCTTTTTATTGTGTTCCCTTGCACATCCTGTTTTGTGATTTGTTGTGTTTTGTAGCTATCCTAGTTTTCTATTGTGTAAAATATTTGGGGAGATTGTTATGCCCTCTTTTGTTGGTTGGAATGTTGGATAATTATTACTACAATTGCCACTACAACTGCCACAAGGATGATATTGTGGAGATTTGTAAGCTATTGTGATCGTGGGAGCATAGTTTTAAATAACGGCCGTTACGTTATATAACGGTTTCGGAGCATCCCGTAACTGTTATTTTAGTATTATAGTAAGCCGTGATTCTCGATAACGACCGCGATTGTTTTTTCAACCATTCGCGATTTAAAACTATGCGTGGGAGTGCTGGTACAGCGTGTTAGTGTTGACTTTGGAGCTACTTTTGTGACAGTAAAGAACACCAAGGAAGAAGGGTCTGAGAGGCAATAATTAATTGGCAAATCTGAAAACTAATGATTTTGAACTATTAAAAAAGTTTAGAAATTGAGAAAACTATGGCCCTTATCCATATGGAAACAAAGGTGTTTATGTTCATACAAAATGCTCGATTATACAGTGCAAAATTATTATGAAACCTCGTGTAGATAAATTGCCCTTGAAACAATAGAATTCACCTTAAATCTTAACAAATTATTACAATTTCAGTTTGCTGCTGGCCGGAGTCATTAGTTGCGTGATTCTTTCTACTCTGCCTATCTTACTGTGATCTACTGTATTTGGCAGGTTCTGAAATTGGAGTCTCTTTCTTATACTTCTAAATTTGATGTGGATTCTATTGCTTCTGTTATTGAAGATCAATATTCTATCCCGAAACAGTTCAGCTCAGTTTCAGCTTCTAATAGTTTGACGGGGTTCCAAGTTAAAGATCTCTATAATTACTATGAGGTCAAACTAAATGACATTGAGGTCAGGCATCTTAGTCTTGTTTCATATTGTATCCTATGCTGATTATCAGATGTCTAAATGTGAAATTCACATGCTGCAGTTAAGTCTCATTACCCTTCAACATGCTCAAGCAATCTCTATCTTGGAGAAATTTTGTGCTTCTGTTACTCTGGCATCCTGTATCATTTCTGATCAATCAGTATTGAAACAATTGGAGGTAATTAATTTAATTTATTTTCATGTTTTGCTACTATTATCTAGACAGATGTTTTAACCAAATCTCTCAGTTAATTCTATAACAAAATGCAAAGCAACAAAAATTATATTCCTACACTGAGAAAGTCTTCAAGAGGAGCATGTTGACCTCTTAAATGTGTAGTTGTAACCCTTGGATTAGTCAAGTGGTGAAGCTCTTGTCAACATGCCTCGGTCCCTACAACAAAACTAAATCTCAAATATGTATGAGAGATGCTAGCTCTTGTTAATCGAGCAAGTGGCCCCATTGAAAGAAGGGGATCTAATATAGTTCTTAGCAATCCGTTTTAAGATCTTATTAACCAGCTGGCAATACCATCAGGTTTGGAGTAGGGTAGAGCTGCCTGTCCAGGTGGTCTTTTGGTATTGCCTCCAGTCTTCTTTCATTTCGTAGAATTTCTTGAAAAACGGGTCTCACTGGCCAAAATCTTTTGAAATGAATCTAAAGAGGGGACTTGCTATCTATGGAACCATGTCAAGAGGCATGGTAATACATGGAGGTATAGGGAGGGGGAGATAGTCTCCCTCTCTTTCTCTCTCTCCAATTTCTTCTTTTGGTGATAATCTTGAGAGTAATGCTGGAGGTAGTAACTTTTTACTTGATTATTATTCCAACTAAAAAGGGGGATCCTGATGGGGGTTAATATATATATATATATATATATATATATATTAATCCAATCATGGTAGGTATACAGTAAGCATGCTAATGCCATATCCTGGTAAGTGATCGTATGAATGCCACATCAGTTAAGTGTTAATAAACTTGTTTATTACTCTTAGCATTAATGTAATCTTAGAATTTTTCTGTCTCAAAAGTATATCAGACTCAATCATGACGACATTTTACATTCTAGTAAATGATAAAATTTTGTGTTTCAGCTGTCTTTATATAGTGATATATTTTCCCATTTCAGGTTTATGTCAATTTGTCAGCACTTAATGCAAGCTTTTCTCCACTAGTATATGAGGCAGTTGTGGCATTTATTTCACATATAGAAAATCTTTGTTCAAGGTCTGAACCAGTGATGCTAAGAAACCCCAATTCACTTGATGTCATTGCAAATCAACCTGGGACTTCTGGTTTTGGTTTCGGTTTCTCTGTTTCTACAAGATTGGACTTGGTCAGTTTTTGTTTTGACCTCGCAAATGATGGAGAAAATAGCTCTCAATTCGTCTTCTCTCTTCAAGGATTAGATATCTGGTATGTGTTTGATGTTTGATTTTGAGCTACCAAAGAGCTTTTAGCCTAGTGGTAGTGGTCTCTTGCAACAAGAGGTCACAGCCTTGGGTGTGTGAGTTAAAAAAAAAAAAAATGTTTGATTTTGAGCTTATATATGTTATCTGCATTTTAGCCTTTTGCTGATACTCTCAGAACGAAACAACTTCTGTGCTTATGGTTCTTCTGTTCTAATTGCAGGTTTTCTCATACCCAATTTGACGAGTGCTGGGTTTGTACAAAAGCATTAAAGATAGTAACTTCCCCATTGAGAGGTGAAAATGACGGCCATATTTTGTGTTCATCTGGGAAGCAACTTTCTTCCAGTTCTGCAAATCATGAAGACTTGGGCATCCGACATGGCAGTCAGGATGAAAATTATGAACACTCATGCACTGATGTATGCTTTCTTTTGCACTATGAAGCATACAGAACTGCAGATACAGCTGTTAAAAAGTGTACTGTTGGCTTGAATGACATTGATTTCCATTGCTATCCATATATAGTCGGGTTATTAGTTGGGTTTTATAATAAAATATCTGCTTATGGCTCACCCTTTGCTTCTGACAACTCATTTAGCCTTGCTACAGATGCTAAAAGTCCTAAAGGAATGACTGGTTTTGAGTTTGGAAGATTCGGTTACTCAAATTTCATTGAAACTGGGTCTTCCGATCATGCTAGCATTTCTTTGGATTACTATCCCTTTGTCACTCTCTGCAACTCTGGTTCTCTTGGCAGCCTAGAGAGTTCACTTCGTTACCCTATTGCTGACTGGAGGAAATTATTTGATTTAAGGGATGGAAAAATTAGAAGTACAAAATTCTGTTTAAAGAATGGATCTAAAACTTTTAACGCTTCACCATTGACATTCGCATCTGGAGTGGATACATTTTCTGCATCAGGAAGTATTTGTGATGCAAATTTACTTAATGTTGACATAAATCTTTGTGGAGTCAGAGTGCATTTCCATGATTCCTCTTGCATTGTTGGAACTGTTATGGTACCAACCTTGAAATCTTCACTGTCAATTTATGAAGACTCTATGGATTTGCTGTGTTCTGCTGAGGGATTGTTTCTCACATCATCTTGGTGGACAAAAAATTTTCAAGAGTTTCTTTGGGGCCCCTTGTTACCAAATCTGTCTCCCATTCTAAACTTGCGTGTGAGAAAAGGGAATTTTGGATCACTGCCTTCTGAACTTGAAGTCAGCATTGGTATTCAGCATGTATACTGCATGTTGCCTCCAGAGTATTTAGCCATTATAATTGGTTACTTTTCATTGCCAGATTGGAGTTCAAATCTGAGTGAGCAGCCTTTTACTGAAAAACATGAGCGTATTAATACAGAAAAAGAGAGTCTCGTAGTATATAAATTTGAGATACTGGACTCCACTTTGATTCTGCCTGTGGAACATGATGACCATCAGTTTCTGAAGATAGAAATTCAACAGCTTTACTGTAGTTTTATTGATAAGTGTGCTCCAAATGATGCAGTGATGAGTATTCCTCCTGAGTATCTGGTTTCAGCACACAAAGTTGCCAAAGAAAATCACTGTTTGAATATGTTTGGAAGGGACTTGTCCCTATCCTTCCTGTTAAGGAGAGAGGATGAATATGGTTGCTTAGTACTTGATCAAGATACTGGATGTTGTAAGATCACCTTAATTTCACCACTTAGTGCTGATCTTTGGGTTTGGCTACCTTGTGAGAATGAGTCCTGTTCTGAAAGCTCTTCTGTTTCCACATGCATCATATCAACAATTACCGACTGTCAATTTATTGCTGATGGTATGATATTTTGGCTTTCAAATGCTCTGTTGAATTTATCACTTTCCATGTGTTATTGCTGTTAATACATCTGTTGTTTGTCTCTAATGATAGACTGCTACAGTTTGGATGGACTTGAGGCACTGCTAGATGTCGTAGATCAGTTTTCTTCAGTTGATGATCAGTCCAAAAATTTTGACTCTGATGTTTTGCACTTTCTTCGGTGGAAGAGGAGCCAAAAGGAAAGTTTTGCAGTTTCACCTGCTGCCTCAGGCATTGAGTCTTTGGAGGTTCGATGTTCTGTTGATTCGTTGTTGATAAAATTGTGTCATTCAAGAGAAGGCTCAACTCTGCCGGAACCGATTGCCAAGATTGATGTGAAGTTTAAATGCTCAGCATCTTTGGTAAATGAGACAATCATGGTCTTGGACTTTGGTTTTTCATCTTTAGGACTATATTCACTGCCTAGTTCTGTGATGTTAGCACGATGCAATGGCAGTTCATCTGGCTCCTTAGCTCTTCATTTTTGTTTCTTAAAATCTGTTGAAGGTGAAAATGAACTTAATATTTCTCTTCCTTCTCTTAGTATTTGGCTACACCTTTTTGACTGGACTGGGATCATTGGTCTTTGTAATTTTTATGCTAAAAGAATGGCTGAAAGTGAACTGGTTCAGTTACCATCTATGAGTTCATCCCAAGATCTGGTTGATCCAACTGAAACTGTGATACATGACGTTTCTCGAAACTCTCCTCAAAATATCAGCATGCCGACTTCTTATGTTCCAAAGTATGCGGAGCAGGACTCTATTTCCCTTCTTGTGAGATCAGAAAATATTGGCCTTACAGTTCATTTTCCTTTCTGTGCCACAGAAACTAAACCTGCTGAAATACAGGCAGCTATAGTTCAAGAAAGGAAGCCTCAAGATGTCACATCTAATACAATAGAGGGGAAAAACGATAAATTTATCACATTTACTACACATAGTAGAAGTACTATTGAACTATTGGTTGGTAAAATTGTGACATTGAAATATAGTTTGCAGAAGGCCTGTGGCACTGTGGGAACAGGTGAGGATGAGAGCATTACCACTTGGCCTCTCTTTGAGACATCACAAGTTGTTGTGTCAATGGAGATTTCTAACAGCCAGCTGGAGTTTGTTGATTTCAATTGGGGGTTACAGTGTGACCGGTTAGATGTGCAGCTCTCCCATCAAGTACTCTGCTTCTGGCATGGTGTACGGTTAGACATTCCTGAAGCAGGAGCTTCTCGTTCTTCATTTGTTCATATGGATTTTAAAATCCAGTTGCGAAAAATTTCCTTTCTTGTATCTGATGAAAGGGTACGTTTGCTACTGACTACTAACTCGTAGATTCTGTTTAACTGTTTCTAGTAGTGCATGGTTATTACATATTTTTCTCTATTATTTCAGTCTTGCAACTGTCTCCTTTTAATGCCCTATCATATCTAGTTGTTTTTATTTCTTAAGTATTATTTTTTTCATTCAAATAATTATAAATGCAAGGTTCACTTTCAATTATGTTTATGATTTTGGTGCTTGTACCTTATATGGTTTCTTTTAGTCTTGCAAGATTCAATGTTGTTGTGTTCTTATGGTGGTCTTTGTTTTGTTTTTGTTTTTATTTTTCTTCCAAATCAGCTTCTGTTTTTACGTTCATTTTCTATGGAAAACAAGAAAAGCTATTCATGTGATAAGCATGAGAACTTTTTCCTATACGATGAGTACATAAAGCATGAATTATTAACTTATTTTGAAGGTTGAAGGTATTTTTCCCATTATAAAAATTACAAATTAATGATCTGTTCTAATCCCTTATTTTCTTAATGGAAAACATGGAAACAACTAGACTGTTTTTTTATGAGAGAGACACTGGAAAAAATCTCTTAGGTGTTTTTCGAAAACTTCAATAGAAAATTAGAAAACACAGGTTTCTGTTATGTTTAAAAAAAATATTATATTGGAACTGTGAGGCAGGAAAGCCTCACTTTGTTCTGATTGCTTGGTTGGTGAAGATAGGAGGAATGCACTGCTTTCATTCTGTTAAATCAATTCTTGCACATATTTTGCTCCATTATTTTCCAAGACATTTGATTTACAATTATATGTTTTAGGAGCAGTATTCATGTTGATAATGTAACATATTTTTGTTAATGACAGTGTATTGCCATTGATACCATATGTACTTTTTGGAATAAAAAGTTATGTCAATTTTCTTCTTTTTCCTCATGTAGTGGAGCTTTGGTGGACCTCTGCTAGAAATTGCTTTGAGGAACTTTCTATTGCATGCTAATGTGACTGAAAACAGCATGGAGAGCTCAGTTGCAAGTAACCTTGAAGTGAACTACAATAACATTCACAAGGTATATTAGTTACTGAAGCATGACTACTGTTGTTCTGTTTGCCTGTCTTGCTAATATTTTCTGTAATACTGTACTTATTTTGGTTGCAGGTCTTGTGGGAGCCATTTGTTGAGCCTTGGAAGTTTCAGATAAACATGATTAGAAAACACGAGATGACTGCTCATTTGAACAGTTCTATTATGACAGATATCGATCTCACATCAACAATGCAACTTAATTTGAACTGCACTGAATCTCTTATTGAGGTATATACTGCTATTCTCCATATTTTATCTGGATCGCTTTTCAATAAGCATCTTAGGAAATTTTTGTTAATCTGGTGCATTATTTTATGCAACAATAATAGATGCTTGATGAGAATTTCTATTTAATACTGTACTACTGGTTATAAATTTTTACCCTAACAGTCTTATGTTTACCACCAAATGCTCCTATTGTGGACCTGAGCATGTCTAGATGGATCTTTTTGGTTTGATCATGTTAATGTTTCCTTTTGTGTGCAACTTAGACCAATTTCCCTTTGAATATGTCTCATAATATATATATATATATATATATTTCCTGAAAATGCAATGGTTTTTCCTAATGAATTTCTGTCCCTAAAGTATGTGTGCGTGTATATATATATAGATATTTTTTTTTTCCTGAAATTGCAATGGTTTTCCTAATGAATTTCTGTCCCTAAAGTGTATTTTCAGGACACTTGAGATGGTTAATGATGCCTGGCATGTGTTGGGACCAACTGATCCATTTGAAAACCAGAGGTCCTTAAGTAGTCAGTTTTCTGACAATATACGTGAAGGCAGTTATGCTCCCTATGTGCTTCAAAATTTGACTTCCTTGCCTCTTGGATACCATGTTTTCAAAGGGCTGGTTAATGCTGATGAGTTTGATTTCTCTGAAATGAAAGATGCAAAATCTGTGCAACCAGGTTCTTCTGTTCCTATTTATCTTAATGAAACTCCGGAGGAGCAACTGTTTCGATATGGCCCTGCTCAGTCTTCTGACAGGCTCAGTGAGAAGCAATCAAATGGAGTTGTTCATCACTTCATGAGCATTCAGCTTGATGGGATGTTTCTACCTTCTCCTCCTATTTCAATGGATCTTGTAGGGCTCACCTACTTTGAGGTTGATTTTACTAAGGTTTCAAAGCGAACAGAAGTGGAGAAAACAGGGAATGTTTCAAAATATGATATGGACCTTGAAGAGAATGCTAGATTCAATACTGATAGTGGTTTTGTTGTTCCTGTTGTCTTTGATGTTTCAGTGCAACGCTACACCAAGTTAATACGATTATACTCAACAGTAAGTACAAACAATTACTTTTTGTTGGAGGTTTTGATGCTCATGAGATAACAACTATATTTTTTAATCTAGGTGTTTGTCGCAGCTTAAGTACTCATGAGTAAACTTTACATTTGATGATTTAGGTCATACTTGCCAATACAACGTCAGTGCCGCTGGAGTTAAGGTTTGATATCCCTTTTGGTGTGTCCCCGAAGGTATGAAATTTAAAAAGAATTAGCATACTGGTCTCGTCGTGGACATCTACATGTTACTTTAATTTGACACCATAGTTATTTTTGCTTTTACAGATCCTAGATCCAATATATCCGGACCAGGAGTTGCCATTGCCTTTGCACTTGGCTGAAACTGGTCGAATGCGGTGGCGTCCGCATGGAAATTCTTACTTGTGGAGTGAAGTACATGACATTTCAAGCATTCTTTCACATGAAAGCAAGATTGGATTTCTTAGATCGTTTGTTTGTTATCCATCTCATCCAAGCAGTGATCCCTTTCGCTGTTGCATATCGGTTCAAAGTTTTAGCTTGCCTTCATCTAGGAAGCTGAAGAAAGGATCATATAACACTTTGAAGCAATTAGTTGAAAGTTGCAATGGTGATCAGAAGAAGTCAAATAATCGTTTCATTCATCAAGTAACCTTAAGTGCTCCATTACTAGTGATCAATTATCTTCCAGATGAAGTATCATTGGCAATCGAGAATGGTGGAGTTACTCGTACTGTGTTGCTCTCAGAGGTTTGTGGAGTAATTTAGTTAGATGAATCCATGGTTCTAATTTGAGGCCACAGTTCATGGTTGTCATGGTCTATCCCCGGCTGTTGATGTAACAGTCATGGCTGCTGCATGTGTGAATTTGTTACTCACTGCAACCATTTTAGTCCATTGCATAATGGGTTAGAAAACTTCCATGGTCTAAGAATCTGTTATGTGATGCTGTTGTGCAATAGTAAAAGCTGATATTTGAAACTGTGGATGAATCTTAAGCTGGTTGTTTGGAGTTCTGTTTGTTTTTGTGATTTATTGATGTCTGAAGGTGGCTCCATCACTTAAAATGTGTTGTATGCTTTCTTCCTTTCAGGTGGAAACTTCTTTCCATCATATCGATCCTTCACATGACCTGGGACTGGAGTTCTGTATTCATGGATTCAGACCTTTGACTTTGAAGTTTCCACGTGCAGAAACATTCGGTGCAATGGCTAAATTCAATGGAACCAAGCTCTCGTTAACTGAGACTGTTTCCATTAATTCTGATTCATCTAATGGTGGGATATGCTTACTTTTGTCTGCTTTCAAGGAATTTGTGTGTTTCAGCAATTTTTCTAACCACAATTGTGTAATGCTATTTTAGGTCTGCTATGTGTTACAGTGGAAAAGCTGATGGATGCATTCTCTGGTGCACGAGAACTATTCATATATGTTCCCTTTTTGTTATATAATTGCACTGGTTTTCCGCTCAATATTTCAGATTGCAACTCAGAAATGAAAGGAAGTCATTTTACTGTCCCATCTTGTTATGTTTTGGTTGAAGATGAACTTATTCAAGGCAAAAAAGATGGTCTTAGCTATTTGTCTTCTGACCAGGATTTGCTTTCGAGAGCTACCCAGATTGTCAGTTCAGGGAGTTCTTCCTTGAAAAATCACATTGCTATTCCCAGGAGGGATGCTACTTTGCATCTTGGGACATGTGTTAGCAAACCTCAGATTTTATCTGGTTCCTCTGGACCTTTCCAAGAGCGATCAGACAAACATGATTTAGTTTGTCAAAAGGCTTCTTTGGACAAGTGTTCAAATACTTACTCAATTGATACTAGACATGGAGAGGTTAAAGCATGCATGTATTCTCCCCATGGTGTTTCTTCTGTTAATGAAATTATGGTAAGAGTAAGTAGGCACGAATATGTCATGGAAAATTTTTCAAATTCCTCATGGTCAACACCGTTTCTTCTCGTTCCACCAAGTGGTTCAAGCACTGTTCTTGTTCCTCAATCATCATCAAATTCTGCACTGATAATATCTGTGACTGCTAGTGATGTTGCTGGATCATTTGCTGGGCGAACCCAAGCTATTGCTTTCCAGCCCAGGTAATAATTTTCCATGCTGTAAAAAGACAAAATACACTCTTTAAGTCACAATTCTTTTGCTTTAAGGTTCTTATTCCTGTTGTTCATATTTTTCGTCATCCTGCAGATATATCATTAGCAACGTTTGCAGCAAAAAAATATGTTATAAGCAGAAAGGAACTGATTTGCCAGTTCGTTTAGGCATTGGACAGCATCACCATCTCCACTGGAAAGACACAAAGAGGTTCCCTTTATCTTTTAGAATCGCTCTGCTGCACACGGCTGTGATCTTTAATTTAATTAAGTCATTAAAATCAACTTTTTTCAATTCAACAAAGCAATTCCATCATTATTGCTAAACTTGTGGCAAAAGTATGAACACCTTCATGGAAGATAGCAGGTACAAATAGCTGACTAATTGCTAGTTTCAAGGTGTGTTAAATCTTAATAAGAGAATATTGTATTTTTATGGTCTTGCTAGTTCCAGGGATTGAATTAGGGTCTATGGCCAAATATGCTATAGAAAAATCTTTTTCTTTGTGGCTGTTTTCTGACTAGATATTTGGGAGTCCAATGCTGCACTGGTCTGCGACAAGGCTGGTTAAGGTGTTGATGATTCACTGGCGACTACTATTCTTTAACATCTCATGCAAAATATGATTTTTGACTGGGCATAGTGGATGGAGGACTCGTTGCCAGCCCTTCCTTGTTTGCAAATAAAATTTAGTGTAGTGTAGTTGAATTTTGGTTGAATGGTTGTTGCAAACTGAAGAAATAAGGATGATAGAATAAAGAAAAATTAGATGAAACCCACGCAACCACATCCATTAAGCACAGCTTTAAATGCTATAAAAGTTATTTTAAATACTTTTATGCATGGAAAGAATTCTTAGTTTTCAAGATACATCAAATTACCTATATAATACTCCAAGACACGTATCAAGTACATCTTTACTGTGGGAAAAGAAATATACCTTTTTGAGCATATAGAGGGAAAATTATTTTCAATAAATATTTTCAAAGTCTTTTCAAATGTCTTTTAGTTGGAGATGACAAAAAATGAAAATGCTTGATGACTGTGGGGCAGCTATAGATCTATTTATGGAAACAAGGGTAAATCCTGGCTTCCATGGACTACTGATTTATTAAAGTATAAGATATTATGTAAACTTCAGTGAAGTGATTGAGCATAGTTTGAGATATAGTACAATACCTGATAACCAATTTGGTTCATGTCAAGTGATCAACCATGGAAAGCGTGCTCCTAGAGTTTAGTGGAAATCATGGTATAAGTGAAGAAACCGGTGCTGGAGAGGAGAGAAGTTTCCATTTAATATATAATAAAAAAAAAATGCAATGAGCAATTACTGATGTGAGAAACTGTTCCAGGTGATATGAATGTTGCCTAGTGATGTCTGCTGACTGTTCTTTATTTCTTTACTCAAGTCATGGATGAATATAACATTCATGCATTTTGCATTCGTGATTGCTATGATTGATGAAACTATAGATGACGTATGTTGTTATGATTGATGAAACTGCACATGGGGGTAAATGAGTAGCATCATAGTATCCTAGAGTTTCAGGCTAAGTAGCACTACAAGCAAACTTATTGTTTGCAACTTTAGCAAAAGCAGAAATAGATAAAGAAATGCTGTTAGAATGGATAGAGTAAGGTGTCTTCGACTGCATTTTGTTCTGAAATTTGCTTTCGGTGGTAAAGTTATCACACAATATTATTTACCTGGTAAAATGAGTGTTCTTCTTTCTATAGCTATCTTGCTTACAAAATATGTGTGAACTCTATATTATATAAATTTTTTTCATTCTCTACCTCTTCCCTCACTTTTCCTCATTCCATTTCCAACCTGTTGCAGGGAGTTATTGATTTCCATATGTTTTGACGAACCGGGATGGGAGTGGTCTGGCAGTTTCTTGCCAGATCATCTAGGTGATACACAAGTGAAAATGCGGAATAATGCTGGAGTGCTAAGAATGATAAGGGTGGAGGTACAGAATGCTAACGTTTCCAATAAAGATGAAAAGATCATTGGAAGCCTTCATGGGAATTCTGGGACAAACTTGATTCTCTTGTCAGAAGATGATACGGGTTTTATGCCATACAGAATTGATAATTTCTCGAAGGAGGTTAGTAGTTGGTTCATCAATATCTTGACCATATCAAATGCAATAGTTGTTTGGCCTATTGGCACTTGCTTCTGCAAAGCAAAATATGAGTGCAATTTTTGAGTTTATGCCTTTGAAAGAATCCAAAAATTAATTATGTTAGCTTTATTAGTGGGACCGATTCCAAATATAATCTTATCCATTATGTGACCTTTTACTTGCCTGGCTGCTTATTTGCTTGTTTATTTTGATAAATTCTTTTGGCTTTCGTCATGCTGCTTGCACTTTGTGACTCAATAGTTAGTGTTAGGTTTAGTATAGCTGCAGATATGCGACCTCCTCCACCTACTATCTGAATTTATTGGATTGAGCTAAAAGCATTGCTTTCCAAGTCGCCTTTTCATTGAAATGCTTTATTGTTTTGATGGTCGATTTTAGATTTTTCATATATTTTTGGAGGATGTCTTATTCTCCGAATTAATCTTGTGCATTTTCTTCTTAATAGAGTACTTCTTTTATGGAAAAGGAAAAATATTGAAACTTTATATGTCCTTGTTATATAATCTCTTAGCAGTTTTTTATTGTGCTTCTTCTTTGCAGAGGTTACGAGTTTACCAACAGAAATGTGAAAATTTTGACACTATCATTCAACCTTACACTTCTTGCCCATATGCATGGGATGAACCCTGTTTTCCACATCGTCTCACCATTGAGGTATGTTCTTCTTGCCTTAAAGAAAAATAACCATAGATGCTTATGGGTTGCTTCTTACTGATTTTTTGATTGAAACATGTAAGCTTCCTGGAGAGCGTCTCATTGGGTCATATGCTCTTGATGATCTGAAAGAGTACATACCAGTGCAATTGAAGGCAACTGCAGAAGTATGTCCTTTTAGACCTTATTCACTGAGCCCTAGACACAAATAATGACTTGAATTGATGTTATCATTCCGTCTTTTCATGTATAACTTTGCAATGCAAGCTGTGTTGTGGACGGAGTAGTAAACAGCAGAAGTGAGTCCAAAACTAAGTAATCCCGTCACAGCAAAATTACCTTCTGTTTAACATAAGGATAAGGAAAGTTACAGGCAGAAACAATCACCTGTTCAAAAGTCTTAGAAGACAAAATACATCCATTCAAATTTTATACTAGGGGTTACACTAGTCCTCTCATGTCAGCCCTCTATTACAAATAAACCCATCTTAACTCGAGGATAATAAAAATCTCCTACCAGGGTGGGAGGAAATTACTCCTACTGACATGTGTCAGGATACTATATTGTCATGTCTCAGCTACATTAATTGTGCTGTTAAAGGATCTTCAGAGTGTGGCCTGCAAGATTTTCTTAAAGACACAATTAAGAAAATGGGATAGGGGTTGCCCTGGGGGTTAAGCCCTAAGGCCCCATTTGCAAGTGATTCTCTGGTTTGTATTGCTTGAATGTTGCTTTACCATAAAATTTATAGAGATAACTAGCATTTTCATGTAAATAACAGCCACAATCAAACTTTGGAGTGTTATTCAATGGCAAGATTCCAGGAAATAGCACATTGCTAACCAAAGTAGAACTCTGGAAAAATTAGTTTTGTGCAGACCTCTTCTAAGTTAAAAAAGAAGAGAGTACTTGGTATTCTCTTAAGGAATCTGATAAACCTTCTGTAAAAGAACAGAAAGGGAGATGAACAATCAATTTAGAATTTGAGGAAGCATCATTTCTATGAAAGCATTGTCAGTGGACTACAGTATGGGAAAAGATAATTATGCAAGGTATCTGTTCATGGTTGTTAGCTGGCCTTGTAGGTTTGTTTGTTGATACTCAACTGCCGAGTTGCCTTATGTCACAAGTTATTTGCTTTCAAAAATCATGATAACTTGAATTTTCATGTTTTGCTTTCAGAAGCCTGAAAGAACATTGCTTTTGTCTGTCCATGCTGAGGGAGCAATAAAGGTTTGTTATTCATAGCTTGGCTCATGCAATGCATATGCTTTTTATAGTGCAGTGACCGTTTTCTTTTGATTCAGGTGCTCGGCATTGTCGATTCAAGTTTCCATGTTTTGAATGATTTTAAAGATCCACCACCTCAGTGGTTTCGAGAAAAAACTAAACATGAACAGAAACAGAAAGATGTATTTTATTACAAGGAGAAATTCTCGGTTGCTATCCCATATATTGGTATCTCCTTGATTAATTCTTATCCTCAGGTAAATGGACAATGAACATATGTATTGACAACTAACTCACACATGCTGAAAGTTTCTTCAAGGTCTTTCTTTCTTTCTTTGTTAGGAACTGCTTTTTGCATGTGCGAAGAATATTAGCCTCAATCTTCTTCAGAGTTTGGATCAACAAAAGATTTCCTTTCAAATCTCGTCATTGCAAATAGATAACCAGTTGCACACAACACCATATCCTGTTATTCTGTCCTTCAATCAAGAATACAGAAGCAGCAAAGCAGGCCAGAGAGTCAAGGATGACAGTGTTAAATCAAAGAGTGATATAGTATCGCAAAGGTCTCGTGAGCCTATACTGTCCCTAGCTGTTGCAACGTGGAGGAAGAAAGACATCTCCTTGGTTTCATTTGAGTATATAAGCTTAAGGTGTCCATCATCTCATTGAAATTGTTTGAATTGTCTGGCTTTTTTCATTCTGAATCTTATTAAAATCAGTTGAATTTGCAGAGTGGCAAATTTTCGCCTGGAGCTTGAGCAAGAAGTTATATTAAGATTGCTTGACTACTGTAAAGCTGTTTCTTCAAGGTTCCAGAGCAATGTCTTGCCATTTTCAGATCCCAAACACCCACCTCTTCTATGTGATGCGGGCTTCATTCATGCTCAGACTCGTGAACACTTCAAAACAAATGATAGCCAGCTTCTTGCCATCAACTTATCTGCATTGAGCAAGAGTCAAACCAGTAGTGCAGCACTAACTTCAGTAGTTCCAATTGGAGCCCCTTGGCAACATATTTCCTTTTTGGACCGGAGGCAGAAGAAGATCTATGTAGAACTGTTTGATTTGGCCCCCATCAAATTTACTTTGAGGTGAGTCGGAAACTACGCTTGCTTTTACATCAGCTCCCAATCTATTTTGTACTGACCAAAACCACAAATATGTTTCTGTACACAGCTTTTCTAGTGCTCCGTGGATGCTGAGAAATGGAGTTCTTACATCAGGAGAATCCCTTATTCATGTAAGTGACCTAATTTTTCTTCTTTATTTTTTGCCCCCTTCCATGTATTTATTGTGAAAAATTCTCAATGTTATTTAAGGAAGTTGACTGTTAATGAATTGATGTTTGAATGAAATGGCATATCATAAGGCATCGACGTTTGACTAGTGTTATAAATTTCAATATGCATTTCTTTAAGCACAATTACTTTTAGTGTCTGCCAATTTTGGTATGATGTGCTATTTGCTACTAACAGAGAGGTCTTATGGCTCTTGCTGATGTTGAGGGTGCTCGAATTCATCTCAAACAGTTGAGAATTGAACATCAGATGGCCAGTTGGGAGTCCATGCAGGATATCCTCATCAGGCATTACACTCGTCAACTTCTTCATGAGATGTACAAGGTAAACAGTGTAAAATGTTTTTTTTTTTTTTTTGGTCAAAAGTGCCCTTTTTTCTCCCTAAACATAATTTTTTGCCGACTGTCAGATGATTTCACTTTTTTATTATTAAGATCAATTACAACCTTATATCAATTTTTTCCTTTGGTAGCTTCACAGCCTAGCATGTTGCTGTAACTTAATATCAATCCATCTGCATTACTTATAATTCTGCAATATGCAGGTGTTTGGTTCTGCTGGTGTTATTGGTAACCCGATGGGATTTGCAAGGAGTTTAGGCCTCGGCATCAGAGACTTTTTATCTGTTCCTGCCAGAAGCTTTTTGCAGGTATAAAGTTTTACAAATTGCTTGAAGGTTACACTGTGCATCTTTGTGTTGAAATTTGGCAGCTGCTTTTACAGAGCCCCACTGGACTGATTACAGGCATGGCACAAGGTACCACTAGTCTTGTGAGTAACACAGTCTATGCTTTAAGTGATGCTGCCACCCAGTTCAGTAAAGCTGCTCAAAAGGTAATTCTACCCCTGTTAGTATCAAAGCAAATCATTGCATGGGTTAAACTTTACTGACAGAACAATTGACTGCTCATAGGGTATTGTTGCATTCACATTTGACGACCAGTCCGTTGCAAGGATGGAAAAGCAGCAGAAAGGTGTTGCTTCACACAGTAAAGGTGTGATAAATGAAGTCCTTGAGGTATATTGTGTGCTAAAACCCCGTAATTCTCTTCAAATAAATTTTGTAAATTGACATTATCTGACCAAATTTTATAATGGAATTCTCCATGTCCATCAGAACTCAGAAATATAAAGCTTAAATTTATTCATGATATCAAACTTATTAAGCTCCATTCAAGAGTATAGTCACTTTTGCATTTTTTTTTTAAGTGGATGCACACAGAACTTCTTACTATTTATTGTTAATATTTGGTGGACCTTCCTAGGTGAAACTTCAATCCTTAATATATATTACTTGCAATGGTTCAAAATTGCATGAATGCTTTGCACTAATGCTTCTCTTTTCAAGGATATTTTTTAAAATAACAAAAAGAAAACAAAACACAAAAGAAAGAAGCGAAATGATTCACAAAATATGTAGTAATATGCTTGTTGAATCCAGGGGTTAACAGGTCTCCTTCAATCTCCAATAAAAGAAGCTGAGAAACATGGTCTTCCAGGTGTCCTCTCAGGTAATGCGCCACGATTATGTTTTAAATTTCAACTGCTTTAACGTGGCCTTTATCATAGTAATAATTATCTGCAGCTCAGACATCAACAATGTGCAGACTGTGCTATAAAGTCGTTCAAATTTAAAAGCATGCAGATAGAACTAACCTCCTTGTGATGAATTTTCTAAAGTGTTTGGTTCAGTATTCTTGAAATTAAGAAACTGTTGAGATCAGTTTGCCTTCAGTGTCAAGGATACTGCAAATCAAACCAAATCACTGAACTGAATAATTTATATGTTTTCTAGGAAATTCATTTTGCTTTGTTTTTATTGTAAAGCATTTACAGTGCTTGGTTGCTGCAATTTCTTTTGCACAGGAATTGCCTTGGGGGTTGCAGGGCTTGTGGCAAGACCAGCAGCTAGTATTCTTGAGGTTACTGGAAAAACTGCACAGAGTATCAGAAATCGAAGTCGGCTATACCAAATGGGACCGCAACGCTATCGGGTCCGGCTGCCTAGGCCTTTAAGTAGAGAACTTCCTCTGAGGCCTTACTCTTTGGAAGAAGCAGTTGGAGCTTCAGTGCTCATGGAGGCTGATGATGGCTTGAATCTCAAGAATGAAGTGTTAGCGATGTGCAAATCACTTAAACAAGCTGGTAAATTCGTTGTTGTCACCGAGAGACTCTTGTTGATTGTTAGCTCTTCCAGTTTGGTAGACTTAACAAAGCCTGAATTTCGAGGTGTTCCCATTGATCCAGAGTGGTTAGTAGAGTCAGAAATTAGTTTGGATGGTGTAATCCATGCTGATGCTGTGGAAGAGGTCGTACATATTGTTGGAACCGGTTCAGATGCCTTATTGAAGCAGAACCAGCACCAGTCTAGAAAGGGTGTCCTGGCAAGGACAAAGAGCTGGAATAATCCAACTTCTCTCCCGCTTTCCCTTACAAATTTGGAATTGGCATCCATGAACGATGCGAAGGAATTGTTACAGATTTTGTTGTCTATAATTGAACAAGGCAAAGAACGGAGATTAGGCAGTGGACATGTTCTGCATCGAAGTAATATCATGTAAAGAGGAGCACTTGCGAGAGTACAGGGGAGCTTCCAATATCAAGATACAATATCCCGCATGCAGATTAGCTTGATTACTAAATGCAGCAGTATTTCCTTCAAGGACTTGATCAGTCATGTGCTCCTTTCTTGAGAGGAGATTCCTTCTGAGGAAATTTAGTCGTCTAAAATCAACTTTGTCGGAATTGATACAATTGGAAAAGCTCCTGTTTGTTGTGAAGTATAGAGATTTTATTGGGAATTACTTGAATTCAAGCGGTGGCTATGATTGACACTGTTGATAGCAGCGGTGGCAGGTGTGGCAGAGGTGATAATGATGCCTTGGTGGTTGGTGAAGGCATGAATATAAGAGCCTGAGAGTCTCAATGTGCATAATGGTATGCAATATCCGTGGGTGTGGCTTTTTCCTCTACCACAGCAATGTTTTGCCCCTCCTTTCAACTTTGTGCAACCTTCCTCCCTGACACAATAAAAGTCCTATACGTTTTTAATCTTGTAATCACTCTCTGTACATTTTGTACAGTGGATTAGAGTAATTTTCAATTATTTTCTTGGCTTGATATCTGTTCTCTTCAGTGTTTGAGAACAACCCATTCTTAGGGTTAAGCAATGACATTCAAATTTTCAAATACTACAGTAGTTACTGGGTACAGAATGGTGAATAAAATGATGACTTGTTGTCAACAAAAATATTGTTCTGCCCTACCTTTGATGCCCTGAGAAGACAAAATCTTATTTTGTCATACTCTGCCGTTCTGCTTTGAAATGAAACACTCTTTTTGGAAACGGTTCATTCTTATGATGTGGCCTTGCAAGCAGTACAACAATAACCTTTTAATTTTTTGGGAAAACGAACTTCAAGCAGCATTTTTTTCATTCCTATATTTATTTGTGTATAATATCAAGAATGGTTATTATTTATTTATTTGTATAATATCAAGAATGGTTGAGGGATGTTTTTAAAGGTCGACATTTGAAAATTGTATTAATTTTTTTATATATTTCTCGTGAAAGAAATGCAACTTGATGAAAGATCTTAACGGGATGAGAAAACCGACGATTTTAATAACAAAAGTGCTTGAGGGAGCTAAGATTGCTTAATTGTTTTGCCTTCATGAAGCCATTGCCCTATAACTGGAATGGTACACCTTTTCATTTCTTGCCTTTGAGATCTTACGATGTGAAGAGTCTTTGGGACGTGAGAAATAAGAGAGAGAGGAAAATGATGACGTGGAAAAAGTCTTTAAAACCTTGGAGATGCCATGGGCACGATGCCGTTGCCAAGGCTTGGGGTTTGATTTCTGGTTCATAGAGTTGAAAGAGAGAGAAGAGAGCCTTTTTGGGTCTAGGCTTTTGGGATTTTGAGAGGGTTTGAAATATCTCCATCACCAGCACTAAAATTAACCAAGACAAATAAATACCGCAGCATCAATTATAAGCCAATCATCAGAAGAAAGATCGAGACTAAATGCAGTATTGAATATATGGAAACAAATATAGACTCAATTAAGAAAGTTATATATTGCTGATACCATCATGTGAGCTTGCAAGAAGATTATGCAAACTTATGCCTTCTAACTGTTCACACAAAATTCAACTGTTTACCAAAGAACTTGCAGCTTAGTGGTAATGGTCTCTTGCTACAAGAAGTCACGAGTTCAAATTCTAATAGACTAGTTCTGCTAGGAGCTTTGGGTGTGTAAGTTAATAAAAAAAAAAAAAACATAATATATAAAAATAAAAAAAACTGCTCATTGCCTGGCCTACTAGGTCCTGGCTTAAGAATAGATCAACTAATTACTCTAACAGTGAATTTCAGAAATGTAACAATCAGATGCAAAATAGAACATATATATATATATATCAAATAATCAGATTTGTTTGTTTTGTTTTGTTTTTTTTTTTTTCATATGAAGCCATGAAAATTCTATAATTAGGAAGAAAGTCAACTTCACAGCCCATGATGCAGACTCCAGGACATCTACAGAGAGCTTCACTTATTCTCATTTTCCATAAATGATGGTGAAGCAAAGTACCTAAATGGTATAAGGGAATTAATAGTAAGAACTATGGTATCACTAAGCTGTAGATGGTTCAGTTGCAGCAGCTTGTTCATCCCCAGCACTAGCAGAGAGCACCATCCATTGGCAGCATCTTTAGAAGGTGATACGGGCTTGTTTTCAGTGGCAGTTGGCAGCATCTTATGCAACCCGATATCTTTCCAATCCTTTGCATGCTTCCCGTCTTTGGCATGACAATGGCAGCATCCTGTGAAGAGGAGGGTTCGGACCAAGCATAAACTCCAACACTATAAGATGGTTTAGGGTAAAAGGATGAGACGAAAGCTAAATAATTTAGGAAATGTTCAGCATCCCTTCCGTGTCGTCCATCACTAACCATACAAAACACAATAAGTCATTTACATGATGATGTTACTGTATCACAACAGCTACATAATGGCAAAAGTAAAACATGACAATATGTAATGAAAGCAAAATAAAACAAGAAAATCATGTATTTTGATGTGACACTTGTTTTCCTACAGCAATTACGAAAAGCATAAGAAAGTGGATTAAGCTAGGAGATTTCAATTCAGGAGCCAACAGACAGCTTTAGATGACTACAACACAACAGACAGCTCTGGAGTTGACTTTATTCGCTCTAGACAAACAGAGACATAATACCATGCATTATATTTACCCTGAGTTATTAGGAGCCAGAATATGTAAGAGCCTCAATCACAGTTCTCAATAACTAAAGGTGTGTAACAAGTATTAAGTCTTGAAGATCGTTTCAGTTAGCTTCTTCTATTTCAATCTGCATACTGCTTCTTTTGACATGGTCAACTGAAGTTACAAGAGTAAAAAATTTGAGATGCTGTTCAAGAACAATAGAAACACCTTCAATACTAGCATATCCACACAGGTATGCAGAATTCAGTAAATGATAGTGTTAATGCATCGCACACAATGTTGTCAATTATATAACTACAAAAGAGAACACCTTCAATATTGAAACTCATAGCTGTGCGTGTATAACCCACAGGAGGTGGATGCTAGTGCAAAACAGGTAGCCAGTGACTATTGTGGTTGCCAAAAAAAAAAAAAAAAACAAGAAGTAATCTGTGTCGTTGTCCAGACTCTGACAAGATGGAACTAACAGTAACTTGCACGGTGAAAAAATGGCTACTTAATATTTTCCACATGAATTAGCTGCATCAAAAACTTATAATACCTTTTCACCTCGACGAACTTCGCATAAGCCTAATTAGTACTTCAGAACAGCATAGCCTTCATTAGATAACAGACACTCACCAAGACTGAGGTGCCCACATCTGCAACGAAACCTCTGTCTCTCATTTCGTGAATAAGTTGTAGTGCCCCTGAATCATTCTTGTTGTGGAGAAATCCTCGGATAATAACATTATAAGAACATGCATTTGGAGGGCAGCCATCCTTTTCCATATTTCGGAAAGCTTTGTAACCTTCATTCAGCAATCCTACTTTGCAAAGTCCACTTATTATTACATAGCCGAGCATCAGGCTTCAAACCTTTGACAAGGAGTTCTGAAAACAGTTCCCTTGCTTCTTTAAGCTTTCCAGACTTGCACATGGCAAGAATCAGGATATCATAGATCACCAAATTAGGCTTCAGATAACTATTTTGCATTTCCCGAAACAGTCTCAATGCCTGATCAAGAAACCCTCGCTTGCAGAAGCCATCAAGCAAAATTGAGTAAGTAAACAAATTTGGCAGGTTGCCATTAGCATGCATATTCTTGAAAAGCTTTTGTGCTTCTCGAAGTCTCCCTGCTTGGCACATGCCACTAATCAGAGTGCTGTAACTGACAGTGTTTGGAGTGAGACCTTGATGAGCCATTTCATAAAAAAGTTGTTTGGCCTGATCTAACCTTCCGGCCTTACAGTATCCATTGATTAAGATGCTATAACTAAAAACATTAGGTACACAACCCTTGCTTATCATCGTATTGAATACCTCTCTAGCTTGAACAACTTTCCCTCGCAAGCAGTATCCATGCATCAAAGAACTGTAAGTAAAAACATCAGGCTCCACATTCAATGCAGTCATATTCTTTAAAATACCTCCAGCCTCTGAGAACTTGCCTTCTTCACAAATAATATCAATCAACGTGCTGTACGTCACCACATTAGGCTTGCAACCTGACTCTTCCATTTTCTTAAGGAATACAGCAGCCATAGTGGTTTTCCCCATCTTAAATAAACAGTTGATAATGGTATTGTATGTAACAACATCTGGCTCGCAACCTGCCTCTTCCAATTGCTTAAACAATGCAATAGCTGCAGTGGTTTCCAAATTCTTACATAAACCATTGATAATGGTATTGAATGTCACAACATTTGGCTTGCAACCTGCCTCTTGCATTTTCTTAAGCAATCCAGTAGACGCAGTGGTATCCCCAGTCATACATAAACCATTGATAATGGTATTGTATGTCACAACATCTGGCTCGCAAACTGCCTCTTCCATTTCCATAAGCAACCCAGTAGCCACAGTTGTTTTCCCAACCTTACATAAGCCATGTATAATAATATTGTAAGTGTGGACATCAGGTTTATACCCTCTTGCCAGCATCCCATCAAAGAATTCCACAGCTTGACCAAATTTACCCACTTTACCCAGCCCATTGATTAAAGTGTTAAATGTGACAATACTGGGTTGAAAACCGAGTTTAATGATTTTGGCCAACACAGAGAGTCCATAATCAACACGATGTAAGCGACAGAAGCAGTTAATCAAGATGTTGAAAGTAAAAAAATCATGACAGAATCCAGCTAATTCCATTTGTTTAGAGAGAGAAACCACAGTCTCATAATGTCTCAATCTAACAATAGAAGACAATAATTTACCGAATTCGAAGATGGAAGGCCGAGGACTCCTACGAATCATGTGATGGAAGGAAGAAAGGGCATCATCAATGTTACTAAAAGAAGCGTTTTTGTGATTATCTATAGAGGTAGTGGTAGAAGAAGAAAAAGAAGAAGCGGAAATGGAGTTGGAGTGGTTGCTAGACAATAGAATCATACCCATTACTTGAAAATGGAACCCAATACCAATAAAAGGGGCCGCTGCTGAACTTCGTTTTGGTGCCGCCATCATCATCATCGATCTTTCTTTCGTGTTTCTTCAGTTCCAGTGCCCTAAAAATTAGAATTAGATGCTAACTTTAAGTTGGAGAAAATAGTGCTTCGTATGAAGCTTCCGCGCGAGAGACAGAGAGAGAGAGAGATGTTCAAATGGAGCGACTGCAGGAAAGATTGCTACTTCTATAGGATTTTGGATTTTAGAGTAAATTATATTATTAGTCCCTCTATTTTTAAGCAAAAACTAACTAGTCCCTTTTGTTTTAAAAACAAATTAATTAATCTTTTTACTAGTGTTGACCATGCTTAATTTAGTATTATTTTATCTCAAAAAATGTCATATTTTCTCATTAAATTTTTTTCCTTTCTCTATTTTATAAAATATCAAAATAAATTAAAAAAAGATGAAAATGATTAAATTACAATTTAGAATAGAGGAAGAAGCATTTCTATGAATGAAAGCATTGTAATTGGAGTACAGTATGGGAAAAGACAATTATGCAAGATATCTGTTCATGGTTGTTAGCTGGCCTTGTATGTTTGCTTGTTGATAGTCATCTACTGAGTTGCCTTATGTCACAAGTTATTAGCTTTCAAAAACTTGAATTTTCATGTTTTGCTTTCAGAAGCTCGAAAGAACTTTGCTTTAATCTGTCCATGCTAAGGGAGCAATACGTTAAAAGGTAATTTGTAATTTTCAGTGTCAGGTTTACTTGAGTCAAAGTCTCTTTGTGTTTTCTAAAGTTTTGAAACTTGCAGTACTTTGTTAACTGCATATTTTCCAACTAATTTGGTATCAGAGCTTTTGGTTCAAATGGCTCCCTCATCTACCATTTTCTCATGTACAGCAACTCATATTCCTATATATATATTATTGAGAGCTCTATGATTATTGGAGCTCTCAAATGGAAACTATTTTTCTTTGGAAAGATTTGTGGAGTTTGGTGGATGAAGGATTCAGAGAACGACCAGAAACAGGAGCATCATCTTTCTTGACAGAAGCAGATGAGAAAAGGTATATAAAGAGATCGTGTAGAGAAACACCATAGCATTAAGGGTAATTCAACAAGGGGTAAGCAAATCCATTTATCCTAAAATACTTTCTAATAAAAGTGCAAAAGATGCATGGGAGATCCTGAAAATTGAATTTAAAGGCGCAGAGAAAGCTATCTCCGTAAGATTGCAAG